TTTTTTTTTATGAATGCAGTTAGGCATTCAGTGATGAGGTTTGTCATGTGTTTGTATAACAGCAAAGCCAGGAGTGTGTCCAAGTGAAAACCTTGGAGTAGGAATTTGTGCTGAGATGTGTTTCCATGACGGTAACTGTCCGAATGATGAGAAATGCTGCAGCAATGGATGTGGACATCAGTGTATGTCTCCATCTAAAGGTGTGTTATACTAATGCGTTGGCCAGCTTTCCCCATTACAGTGAGTCATTCAGTGATCCGGTTTCCCTGTTGTGTTTGTATAACAGTAAAGCCTGGTGTATGTCCATGGGAAGTCCTTGGAGTAGGATCGTGTGCAGAGTTGTGTGCCCATGATAGTAACTGTCCGAACGATGAGAAGTGCTGCAGCAATGGATGATTCGGTGATCTGGTTTCCCTGTCGTGTGTTTGTATAACAGTAAAGCCAGGAGTGTGTCCAAGGAGATGCTTTGGAGCCAGATTGTGTGCCGAGTTGTGTGCCCATGACGGTGACTGTCCAGACGATGAGAAGTGCTGCAGAACTAAATGTGGACATGAATGTACACCTCCATATGAAGGTATGTTATATTGATTCTCTCCACACACACAGTATTTTCATTTCTCCTTGGGAAGTACCTGAATTTGGCCCATAGCACCATTTCAGGCACATGGCTTTTCAAAATAAAAACTAATACTTGGAATACAACTCTATTTAAAAGTAAAACTTGTTCATGCTTTGAGTTGTGTGCTGCGTATCTGAGATTTGAATGCCACTAAATGGACCGACTAAATCTGACTTTCTGTATCCATGCAGTGATGCCTGGTGCATGTCTCAAACCGAATGTGTGCTGAGAACTCATCCCATGATGATCAATGTCCTGCCAGACGGAAGGGTTGTCCAACCACCTGTGGCCATGCATGCATCTAACCATGCTGATTTAATTTATTTTTGCATGCCATATTTGAGGTCTTCTACATTTCAAATAAATCTCATGAATAAGTGAAACATCTGTTTTTTGTTTTTTTTTTGTTTTGTTTTTTTTCACAATGCAAGGGTAAACAAAGAACTGGTGTTTGAATAAGTACAGCGTTTCCTTTACTCAAGAAACACCGTCAATAAAGGCTAATGTTTTTGTGTGTATAAAGAGCAGAGAATAGTCTTCGCATTTGCTGTCTAGTTGTAACAATACACTTTTGTACGTTTTAAATATCATAGCTGTTCGTATTTTATATCGTGAGATTTTGGCCAAATGTATTAACCAAGAGAAACTGATCACCTGCATGGCTACAATAAACTTTATAACCTTCAAACTCGTGAAGTGACGCTATTAATTTAGTGCCTCAGAGGCGGCTGTTCTAATGATGGACAAAACACAGATCTGTCACTCGCTCGTCAAAAACCTCTAACTTCATTTGATTATGATTTTCAGAAAGTGCAAGTGTCTGATCATATATATATATATACCGAGGTTACGTTAGTAACGGAGTACGTTGCCTTTCGATACTTCACTCATACTGCATCTTAAGACGCATATGGGAACATAGTACAATCACACCATGCTAATGTAGTGGAACGACTAAAGGTATAAACTTCCATAAGCAACCAATGCTCAAAGAAGTCAACAATAACCCAAGGCTAAGACTGGCTGAGCTGTCTAGGTCACACCCGGCCTGGTTAATCGTTCCAGAGTATTCCCGTAACTTCGACACCCAGGGGTCGAGCGCTAACAGGTGAAACCATGCCAGAGAACTTGGGCGTGATACGGCCAAGGGCTCTCTGCCATATCTGT